CTAAGGTGTTTGGGTGGCATCATCCTTTTGTGGCAGAAAGGAAGGTATGTTGATTCTTTTCCTTTTAAGTATGACAGTGTTTTCCTCTGTCGAGGGTGACAAGTTAGATTTCGTTGTGGCGGGCCTGGTCCACAGGCTTACTGTATCCTTGGTGTGAGGTGAAGAAGGAGGAGAGATCGGTAGAATATCTTTTCCATGGCTTAGGGATTCTGGTCTTTTATTCGGCTTATCAATATCGGGGGTAATTTTGAGCCCTTTGTGTAGTTGGCATTTAGGTTGAATGATGCAACTCTAAAAGCAAGAAGTGGTCCAGATTCTATAGTAAGAGCCAAGTCCCTTGTCAGGGATTTCGATAAATCGCGAGGTGTGGTTGGAGCTGCTGTACTGCTTTGTGTTCAAGCGCTATGTGTAACTGTGAACTGTACACGTGTCATTCAATAAAATAAGTACGTAGAGGTTTCAGGTTGAAGTTATTAAATTATAATGACGAAGCCGTTGAGATTAACAGAAAAGAAGCCAATCACTACACCTTCATTGTATCTAACTGTCGAATATATACTATTGTTTGATTTTCAAGTGAAAATAGCTTAAGTTAGCATATTATATTACAAAGAACGAACCGTACTGGTGCTTAGTCAACATACAAAGAATACTTCTACATTGTTTAAGTTCTGTATATAATTTGATTAAAAACTGTTAAAAATTGAAGAAAACACCGCAAATATATATCAACTGCTGATGGGTATCTTAGTCATTCTATCTTTGAAATTCAATAAATCTGCACAAATTTATATTTCGAACATGGTAGGCGTTATGTGGTTGCAAATTCATTTTTACTCCAGTCTTCACTGAACAAATTTGTGTTTTACACAAAATAACCCAGCCACAGATTTTAACTGTTGCAGGAATGAGTAATTGTCAAATAGACATAATCACATAACAGTTGGGTTTTTTTCAATCTTCAATTACATAAAAACGAACACGCTATACTTTCTTTTGCTCCTCTGTATTAACATGATCATAACCTTTGAGTCAAATATATATATCATGCGCATGCGTGTGTACTTAAGTACAATCCGTATCAGGAGAGCGTGCTCAATAAATCACACATAACTTTTATCATGAATGCTATTCATTGACTTGGTGTCTGAATTATCCCTCCTAAAAGCGCCAGAAATAATGCAGTTAAACATAATGCAGTTATAAAACACTGTCAGTTTATCCTACCGCCAGCGTTGTCATGACAATCAGAAGGGTTGCGATGTCATAAAGCACAAACACTTCCGGTCATTTTATTACGATTGGAAATTGACATTAGTGACAGGTACACGCACAATATCTTGATTATTTGCACAAATGGGTCAGCCTGTCTGCATGGATTTAGCTTGTGTTCCAGCAGAGGTTTGATCACATCTGTTTCATGGCCTATTTGTCACGTTAAATGAGTGTCACTGTCACTGACTCCCCTGTAGCTCGAGGCTGATCTTGCAGGAGTCGTTGGGTGTCATTTGTCAAACTATCTCTGCAGTGTAAGAAACATGTCACAGCCCTAACGTACACCAACCTCATCACTCACTCAACAATGATTACATCAGCTCTTGATGTGGGCCCAGTTACTTCATCATCGCAACGTACTTTATTTAAAGACAATCGACAAGGGTAATAGTGAGTGAGTGAGTGTGTGAGTTGGGTTTAACGCCGCTTTTAACAGTATTATATCACGGCGTGTAAGCTTAATGTTGGAGGAAAGCCGAAGTGATGCAAGTCTCAGACGTTTACCACTTCGGTGAAACCCACGAGCACGGGTATGGTGCGGACAAACCTTGAAACATAATCTGGGCGAACCGGGATTCGAACCAACAATCATAGGTTTCTGGCGTGCCCAAGGGACGCAAATCTGCACAGCGAATCGCGGCGCCTCAGACGACTGGGCTACCCGTGTCCCTGACAAGGGTAATAAATGTCACGGCATATTATTTGACGCAGGTTGATTACTGATGATGAAATTCAATGTAAACGTCCAAATAAGAATGCAAACTAAAATTGAGCATCCATGTTTATTTTCTGCTCCCTTTATTTTTGCAAATAGTTGAACAATCATGGAACTGGATTTACTAGTTACTCTAGTTCACTTTACTATCACATCACACTAAACAGTTGGTTTCACTCATGACCCTTCACAATTGTTGCTCGATACACATTTGTATACTGCACATTCTCTTACCCATAACATATTTTTCTCAATATCGGCAAGTGTACGAACAAAACATACGGCACACACTTGACAAAGAGAGATGTAACTTATCAAAACGTTACAAGGCTCCAAACACTGCCACACCACCACCGCCACCACTAACACCCCCCCCCCCCCCCCCCCCCCCACCAATCCCCCAACACTAACACCACGCACACACATCCCCCACCCACCCACCCACCCACCCCATACCACCCCACCCCCCCCCACCCCACCACCCCACCACCACCCCCTCCACCCCCTCCACCCACCCACACAGACAAGCACACACATCCTCCGCCAGGCACTAGAGAACCTTTACGCCTTTTGAATATTGTAGGTCAATTTGATCTAAAGTGTTCGTGTAAAAATCATGTTTGTTCTGATAATGCATATACTATCCAACATTGCCTGCATCAATACAATCCCTCAGAACAGAATCCATAACTTGATGTTTAGCACTCAGGTATTGTTTCTTTCGAATCGAAACTATTAGTCGATATGAAAGCACTGTTTGTTTACCTTTGCCTTGTCCACAAAACCAACTCAAACGATTATTTGATGTTACTTGCTACTGAAACAGTAGACTGTCATCTGAGATATTTTATAAGACAAAGTCTGAAATCGATTGTTTAAACGTGGCCACACCCACAAGTATTTAATGGTAATTTGATATTTAATTTGAAGACTGATAACATAAGGTTAACTAACTAAAAGGACCTTAAACGTCTGAATGTGTTTTAACTCCTGATTTTGGCGGTTCATGTTAGGGAGCGAAACTATTTCGCACGTAAACAATATTGTAAGATTCTACAGATACACGTATTCTAGACTCCTTCCCGCAAAACATGAAGTTCACTCCACGGTATGGTGCTATTTGCAGCCTATGCATGGACGTTATACACAGAACCATGTGTGTGAAACTCAAACAATGCAATTGTGGCATTAAATAATATAAAACGTCAAAGCCAGAGAATAATCAGTCTCGATTATCCGCCGAAACAGTCCATTGGGTATACATGACAAATAGCGGTGACAGTTATATGAATGGATCACTGAAAATCAGTGATGACACCGGGTGTTCGTGAAAAGGATAAGCATGTCCTGCTCTACCGCGGCACCCGCCACTCACATACTTTGCATAAACATGTAAGTGTTAGTAGCCTGACGCCGTGCCATGCGACGGCGACCTGTAAACAAACCATCAACAAACTATCAAGTGGTCGACCTGAAAACCCAGTGACACGACATGATTTAGCAAAAAACTAAAAACGAAAAAATAATTTTCAATAACGACTGCAAGTGCATAGATTCTGCTGCTTGTAAGTATCTGTTTGTTTGTTTCTTTGTTTGTTTGTTGTTTAACGCCGCACTCAGCAATATTCCAGCCATATGTAAATAATCGAGAATGGAGATGACAATCCACGCAGTTTGGATACGATGACATGCATCAACCAACTCAGCAAGCCTGGCCACCCGGTCCTGTTAGTCGCCTCTTAGTCCTGCATAGTCGTGCATATGAGTAAAGAAAAACGTTTCAGAATTGTTTGGGGGTATGTTCGTTTTGCAAAACATTTAGGAGGGGGGCGGGCAGTTTCAATTCTATATCTCGGCCCAAACATGTCTGTTGTAGTTGACTCAGCATAAGGCATCATAATTATAACTATAAGTTTTATGCATATTATTAACTTTAACAATAAATCTGAGATGTGTTTGATGACTTGAAGGACTGCTGTTTAACCCACCACAACCTGTGCATCAAGCGACATGGTTGATCAATCAGAAAGTCCAAAATGATAAAGAATGCGCCATTTTGTCATTGAAAATGAATGAAATGTTTTTACGAATGTGATAAATATTTGTGCGGTCAAATGTCAGGATTTTTATACACTTTTTAGTATTTTTAATACACGTATGTTATATAATTATACCAATAACCCATCACCAGCAGAATTAAATGAGTCAAGCAAAAAGCGTGACAGATTGAAGAAACATTGGATGAATTATTATTTCGTAAGTGGAAGTAAGTTTTTTGATACATGCAATGCTATATACACCAGGGAATAGTTAAGCGCCGATATATTTTATCATAAAATGCTTTAAAATCATATGGGAGCGGTGCGGTAGCTTAGTGGGTAAAGCGTTTGTTCATCACGCCGAAGCACGCGTTCGATTTTCCACATGGGTACCAATGAGTGAAGCATTTTTCTGGTGTCCCCCGTCGTGGTATTGCTGGAATATTTTTTTAAAAAGCGGCTTAAAATCATACTCACTTACTCACTTTACACTGTATACTGTATTTCTTTTCTGACGAAACACATTTACTTCATAAACTGACATTCAGTCATTCTGAAATACATTAACCGAAACCGATTATCCAATAACATTTGCACTGTTTCATGACAATAGTTATTTGAGTATTTGACTACCCTGCTTCTTTATATCATATAATGGGAAGTACTACTTGTGTCCATCTTGAAGAACACACAGTATTCCTTTGCCAATCATGTCACTGTCATTTAAAACTGTTTCCAAAAGTATCATGGTGGATTAGAATACATAGTATCGAGTTTAGCATATTTCCAGTGTATAAGTTATACATTCACTTCATGGTGTGGAATACATCAATATCTCAGAAAAGTATACTTGTCGTGCAATTGGATGTATACAGATAAAAAAACGCATAATGGTTTACTCTGCTCTGGCGAAATGTTAATATACCATAGCCTAGTGCACAGTCATTTTGAATGGGTGTCTATTTCCGCAGCAATACGGCTTCACTTGTATGGGGGTGCTGACGTAAGATGGACTGAAAACCACACCTCAGGAACAGGAAAGAACAGGAAGAATGTCACGAAGATATATTCAGCCACAGAGACCTACATCAACTACGAGCTGGTATTGTTTGGAAAAGGTATGTTGATGAATGGATGTGTTGAAATATGTTGTATGGTTATAGTAAGCGTATGTTCATACAAATCATCCAAGGATGTTGAACGCATTTGAAAACTCTGGATTTATATATTGGAAAAATGATGTTCAAACCCCATGTGCTGAGATCGTATCCCGCTAGTAACCGGGTTGTTATTCAGCCTTTATAGTGTTGTACATTCATCCTGTAATCTCAAAAGAACCCACTCGTCCGATGGTAGATGACCAGATAGTGGAAACACGAATACGTACATACGACCGAAGTACAAGTGTCAAAACGTATGGTGTCAACCTGGGCAAGTGACTTGGTTCAAATGTGCCACTGTTCACCCAGCAGGGAATGGGTACCCGATATGTGAGGTCGATGTGAAAACCCTCTAGCGCCTGTAGGCAGCTTGGGTTGTATACTCCCCAGGAAGTCGAGAATGCAAACGGATCAACTGGTCGGGGAGCAAATAAAACCGTATTTGAGCAGACACGAGTACCTGGATACCTGCGGTGTGATAATAATAATAATACATATAGATTATGTAATGAATTTAATGAGACTGTCCAACACGTTGTCAGTGGATGTTAAGCTTTGGCACAAACACCGTATCTTAAGCGACATGATGGCGTGGCTCGCTCATTTTATGGTTGCTATTGTTTTCCCAATTATGTTGACTTGCATTGGGAGAGTACCCGGGTTTGCTACCAGGAATACAGCCCTTCTGACAATCTGGGTAATGCAGAAGGCTGCAGTTTTGGGGAGTCTTCACATTCTCTAGTTTGACTAGCAGCACTTCCATTCGCAGTCTAGGCTGCGTGTCGATCAAGGGCCCTGAGCTGATGATGAGCCTAACCAGCCTGACTGCCAGGATCACCTAAACCCCCTTTGCTGCACAACAACAGATGTAACGTATAAATACTGAGTGCCATCAGGTGCACATCTACATTGCCGAATTCTTATCACATGAACCATTGTGAAATTTATTCCGTGAAAAACCAAACACTTGTGTATGGCAAATGTGGACGCAGTTATATGTGAAAGCAATATTCGATATTGGTGGCGGTACCCTGGGGGATTCTTCCTGGCAACATTAATATCCGAGCGCCACTATAAAACAGCTCAGAATGCAGGGGAGATAATCCACGTGGGTAACCACCGATGAGCAGAAGACGCCTAAAAATGTGGAACACTACCCAATTAAATGCCCTTGGCACAATAACATAAGACAAAGTCTCAGAAGTGCTGTACATGACCTTGAAGATGCTGATACATTTTCTTCAGCCTCAAAATCATGTATGGCTCCGTTGAACGGACAGCTTTAGATTTGGTCTCTTCATCTGGCAAATAATTTAGATAGGCTCTGAAATGGCTTAAACAGATTTAGTTCTATGGTTTTGAATCTTTGTAACATTCTATTATGTTAATCTACTGCTTTTTTATTGAACGAGTATTTCATGTTTCAGAAATGAAGGTGTCAGCTTAAGGTCTTTTCTTTTCTTGTTCCCATCATTATTTTTCAGGTGAAATGTATTCTTGCATCTAAATGAATATTACATATGTTGAGGTCTTCTTCATGTTATCCAAACGATTTCGTGTTTTTTTGTTTTTTTTGTAATATAATACTTTGTGATTCTCATTAAGTTAAATCAAAGTGTTTGACGCAAATACGCCTTCTGTTGGCCCACGTAACTTTGAGCGATTCCCCTCCCTGCCCCTGTCGACAAGCCGTCATATAACACTATAACACTAGACAAGCCCCGTGCTAAATTGTGTTATACCTTCATACTCTATACCTCATATTCCGGGGTGGGGGCGGGGCGGGGCGGGGTTCTGCCTTAGTTTTGTTATGAATACACGTATGTTGTTTTAAATCAAGCAAATATCCTCCGACACGCCATCGGAACATCACCTTTAACAGAAGCAAACATCCCCAAGGATCCTGCCACTGATTCTATATGGGATCACTGCCACCAAATTGTACTAACGTTGGCTATTACAGAATTATTCTGAAAGGCAATGAGTCAAAAGGCAGAGCCACTCTCGGGCAGATAAGTGATGACTTCAAAGTACAGGCATTCATACTTGGCCTTGATCTGGTGCTTGATCCTAGCATCTCCCATACGATAGATCCTGCCGTCACTGATTGGTTAATCCGTTATTGTTTTCAATCAGTTGCTACTTAATGCAAATATTGAGCTTAACCTGCTGTGCTTGTGTCTTTATATCTATTAAATGTAAACCATGATCAACCGCCCCGTTATTACAAATACAAACGACAAAAACCATTTCCATTGTCATAAGAAATTTCCACTAAATGCAGAGTACATTTTACCATTCTGACTATATCATGAGCATGTGGTTATGAATCACTATCAAATAGTGATGATACCAGGTGTTCGCGAAAAGTGGCTATTCTGCCCCACCGATGACACAAACGCAAGTGAAGGCAAGTCAACAGTTCACCTGAAAAAAAACAAGGGAACATATGGTACATGTCATATACATAAAGACACAGATCAGCAAGAAGGGGAGCACAATTGGTGACCATGGGGATTCCTTTTACTTGCACAAATGCCACGTTTCACATATACATGCATGTTATCAATGAGGAAGTCATATTACATTTGCTTGTTCTTGACAAATTGTCCTGAACCTTTGAAGATAGAGATATAACAATAAAGATGGTCACGGCGGTGACAAATGTTCCATTGACCAAGGAATGAAGTTTGTCGTGTGGGATAGTGGTGTACAAAATGGCAAAATAAAATGTTTTGACATAATTAAACTTGATTCTTTTCTAAAATTTCAAATATTCCAGCATATCATTTGCGATTGTTGGTTTTTTTTTTAATCCACATGGTAATGATTCCACTTGTTTCAAATACTTTCTGTGCATATAAGGATTATCGTTAATCCTAAAGGCAGTTCACCGATCCGTAGAAATGCGACGAAAACCTTGAATAGGATAGCTTCATAATAAAAGATGCAAATATGTTTTTTTGACGTGCTTTCCTTTTGCAGTTATACTTTATGTCCAAAGTAATCGGAGCACGAGAATTTGGTTTGCTTTTTGACATTCCGCATGTCGAGCAACAATTGTCTTAGTGTGAAGTGATCTGCGGTATCTGGAAGTCTCTTTAATTTGTGATACTAATTGATTGCTGCTGTGTGTAGTGATGCAGTTGAATTACCTTTGCTGTGTAGAGACACGTGACCCACCAGGAGAAAAGGGGCCGTATAGGTGCTAGGATACAATTGTGTTGTGACGTTATAAAGAAAAACTATTTACGTCACCTTACTTCATTTAAATTGCCATGTGTGCGGACTGTACAATAAAAGCCTATTTTTCTCTTTCGTTCGTAATGTAATAAAAACATTTCAAAACATTTCTGCATACATGTTTACCTTTAATTAAGCAGACACTATTTCTAAAATCTGCAACCCTTACATAAACAGGTATACGTCTGAAAATGGGACTTTACAGAAAATGAGTTCAAATGTTTGATGTCACGCATCTCTGTAATAAATATGAATTGAAGCTTATGAATTATTTTTTTGTGGTCCTACAATATTGTAGTTTAGAAAACATAATAAGAAATCAAAATGTGATATTTCACCCATAAGGTCCCTTATCTTATGGTTGTCACAAATATGAGATATGTTGTAGTAGGTTTCCTGTAGGGACTGGGCCACGTTGCACAAGCAAATTTGGCGCTTAGATGATCGAAAGTCGTTAGACGTTAACCCGAGACTGTGGATTTTGTTGACGTCCTCTTTCATGAAACAACATAAAGTAAGGTGAGCCTCAAGTTCAAAATTAATGTTGGTCCGACCTAAATTTAACTCATTAGGGTTGATAATATGTATATGTATTCATTCAATATAGTGTTTTAAATAAGAGAGACTATTTTATATGTTAAATATATATTTATCAATGTAAAGAAATATAATTTGCGATTCCCCATGTGCAGTGTAATAAAGTATAGTTTTGGCCTTGAGCTATTATAGTTAAAACATGACGACGCATACGTTATAAAAATGGTGTCTCCGTTGGACAAAACATGGTGAAGGACGACCACGTGAACAGCTGTCGTTTTGTTTGCCCAACGCCGAGCAATAGGTGAACATGCGGAAATGTTACTTTTGACGTATTTGTCATCCCTGTAGTCAGAGACAGAATCATTCATAGGGCACCAACGCTGTGGCGCAAACACCATGGTTTGTATATGTTCAGCGTTAGAAATTGGCACTAGTCCTGTAGTCTTTGACAAAATGCCCAATAGTTAAGGTATCATAAGGACTAGTAGAAATTTGCCATTTTAAGGGTCTTGCTATATGTTATCATTGTAAGGACTAGTGGCCTAAAACTGTTAGTTTCTACCGCTAATGTTGAGATAATATACGCGGCATCGGAGACGGCTGACATCCACTTGCCATATTTCGCCCCAGGGAATAATGTTCAATCATCGATCGATATTGCAGTGGATGTACCGTATTGATAGACAGAAATGAAAGAACAGTGTTACCAAAGATACGTTAGATCACAGGGGATGGGTAAATTTAAAAAATGACATTTTTCAGGCCATTATTATTTTACTCAATTGACGGCGCCTTTGACCTCTAGCAAAACATCATGGAATTCTAATAATAGAGACAATTTCATTAATAACCGTTTATCGTTTATTAATAATAAATAGATCTAGATTATATTGGTATTTTCTCACCAAATATCATGTTTTTCTCATTGAGTGAGCTGATGAAGTTGATATTTTCAGGACTGCCTTGGTCAACACATATGTGTCGATTATTAGTTGAATAAAACATTATATTAAAATTCATTTGTTTAATGTAGTTAGTCATTTTGTATAGAATCAGCAAACATGTCTAGGTGTGTTCTATAGTCTACAATGTCACCAACGGAGCGTGCCGCGAAAAAGTATCTTTTTCAATTATGAAATACGCGCGTACGCTAATTTCGCTCTGCTTTCACACAAGTATATGTCCAGAGTAAGTTGGGTTTTACGCCGCCGTTAGCAATATTCTACCATGATCACAGAGTAGGGCACCAGAAATGTCCTTCACACATTGTACCCATGTTGGGTATCAAACCCTGGCCTTAGTTGTGACAATGGAACGCTTTAACCACTAGGCTACCCATCATCCCGTGATTCCCGATGGTCATGTATTCACAAAACATGCCAATTAATGACATATTTATTGGGAAATGACTCTTTGAGCGATATATTAGCGATGTCAGCACTAAAGGATTAAAATCTAACTCCCCCCCCCCCCCCCCCCGTGAACATGGTGAAGCGACAACCCTTGTTTTGAAGGTAGGTAAAAGAGGGTTGGGTAAGAGAGGGTTCAATCCAGAATTGAAACCTTCATATTGGTAAGATGTATAGGCATACATGTTTCGAGGATTGATTGGTTATATTGTTTTAGCTTGGGTTGTTACAGTTCATCCAGTTTGGGGATTCGGTTTTTGCTTGCTGTGACAATTGTGACTTGCAGACCTTCGCTGGATGAGTTGTACAAATATGTGGACAATCGACCTGTGGACAATTAAAATCAAAGCATGTTCCAATTTGGCTTGTGCCAATGCCGGTGTACATGTACGCGACGTGCCATAAAGATCTTGATTTCTATGATGCTTTGTACTCTTGAGGTGTACGATTTCATGAATAGCAATCGATTTCATGAATATAAATAGTAAATCATGGTTAACTTTAGGGCACGGGGACAGACGCAGTCTAAATTGCTGATCATACTATATTTGTGTTTCCAGTCATCCCCTTCAGCCTGTGATATGCAATGTACTTCAACAACTGTGAACATTCTGGTGACAACTATTTAAGAAGACGATGTCAATCTTCTACTTTGATAATCTTGGGCTGCTGGTGGTTTACCAGTTCCAGAGTGTCCATTACACCTACTAATCCACTATCAGTGATGATTCTTTAGATGTGTTAATTAATAAGTGAGATAATAAGACTGAAAGTGTCCGTAATGTAGCGTGACTGGTACGTATATGTTCTTAGGTTTGTGAGGTGGTCTAACTGAGTGTGTACATACCTCGGTTTGAGGGGGACTAATTGAAATTATATAACCTGACATGGCGCCTTTTTAGACGGGACCAGACGGCTGGAACCTGTTACTTGCGGCGACCAGATCGGTGGTCTGGGTCCCTCGTCACTGTCACGTCCCTGCAGTTTTCGTCCAGTCCCTTGCTCCCATGGATCTCCCAGTTTCCTTTTGTTGGTCCTGCTGCTCATGTTACGCGGCAATGTGGCACCTCGCTTGCAAAACTGGACAGAAAAGGACGCTTGGCGCAGATGACCTATCCAAACATATCAGAGTTATCTCCCTTTGAATAAGCTTTCAATAGCCTGTGAAAATGATTTTTGTTCTCAAATGCTACAAATAACAAATTTTGTCTGTTATTTTTTCGTTGCCAAAACAATCAGTCGACACATTTATTATTCCGATTGTTTCATTAACACAACAGATGAAGTAAAATTCACGAAAATACATTTTCGTACATGTATTGGGAATTGTTTCATTCTTCTCCATGTTAGCTTTATTCTTTCGAACAATTACAAATATATGTAATATAATCTGTTTTACCACTGTACAAGTTGACGGCTAGATTCTCCCATCAACAAAGTCGTCCAGACGGTTTTCATTAGGATTGTTTTGAACGTTTAAACTGTACCAGCTTTTAGCAATTCAGCGTTAAGCTCAATTTGCGTGAACAATATTCTTTTATTAATCGCATTTCCACGTATATCACTGACTTTAATTTAAAAGCTTTCAACAACACACTTTACGTTTTGTAGTAGAAATAAATAACCATGTATGTTAAACGTGCAAACGTTATACTATTTAACCTGTACGTACGCGAGTGAGTTGGGTTTAACGCCGCTTTTAACAGTATTCCAGTTATATCACGGCGTGACAGCTTAATGTGGGAGGAAAGCTCGAAGTGAAGGTCCCGAAGTGCGGGTCTCAGACGTTTACCACTTCGGTTAAACACACGAGCAATGTTATGGTGCGGACAAACCTAGAAACATAATCTGGGTGAACCGGGATTCGAACCCACAAACATAGGTTTCTGGCGTGTCCAAGGGACGCAAGTCTGCACAGCGAATCGCGGTGCCTTAGACGACTGGGCCACCCGTGCGCCCTCTTCAATTTGAACTGCTGCGGATCTCTATTTCAGATCAATTGTACATGTGCAGCTGTAAAGTTTCTGTACGCTTACCGATATATATTTGATTACATACATGTACCCCGTTGGTGATGATATGTCATTCTAACTTCCAGCACCACACCTAGAGGGAGACAACCCTACTCTACCCGCAGGCCGCTACACATACCCTTTTCAATACCACCTCCCAGTCGGCATTCCCTCTTCATTTGAGGGTACATTTGGGAGGGTACGGTATTGGCTCTGTGGTACCATTGACAAGCCATGGAAATTCGACCACACAACGAAGAAAGCCTTCACGGTGATTAATCTACTGGATCTCAACACTGAACCTGGGAGTATGGTGGGTTGACATGTATGATCTTGATAATTCTGCGTCGAATATCGTAAAGTGTTCACATGCTATCAACCATCGGTTGGTCTGGTCAAACCTTTATTATTAGAGATCAAGATTAGATAACATTCACACGTAATCATTTCTATTTGTTTATTAAAAGGCTTTTTACAATTGTTGACAGTGTTCTCTTGGAATAACGTTTTGATATTGAGAATTGCATTTCATTGTTTAACTGTCACGATGCTTGTGTGTCAAGTACCCGATGGCGTCATCGTTGCTCATGCTTTCAGTCACTGGTTTGCCTGGTCCAGATTCGATTGTTTGAATGGGAACGTGTATAAATGAACATATTTTTATTACAAAAAAATACCTACCAACAATGGAAAATATTTCCTTTCGTGGGGATTTGGCCGTCCGTTGATATTGCGATTTGAAACCTGATTGATGTATCAGAATCGAGTTATTTCAAAATTTGCTGTGGAATTTTGGCTTTACCCCTACATTAAACCGACACGCCGTGTTACACTTTTAAAGAGGCGTAATCTTGCACCAACCCACTCACTGAAATAATTGAGTACATTGATATTCACAACATTGTTGTCATTATTGAACTTGGCCGTGGTACGACGGCAGTGTAACATCAGTGAATTTGTATACAGTTATTGATCCACAACATGTTCATAGTTGAAAAAGACATGCGATCCCTGATGCATAAACAAAAACAAAGCAAGCCTGACCGTGTCCCGTAATCGTTTCAGAAAGGGTAACTAGTTGAGCTCATTATTGATCCGAAGTTTTGTTATGTTAGAGAGTACATATGAACCAGTGTCGTTGTAGTTGTTTATTAGCGACAAGAGAAACAAGTGAGAACTAAGTGTGAAGTGTGATTTTTAATGGATGAATCTTCCCCTTGTTCAGTTGCAAGTATTCAAGTGAAATTTGAACCATTGACCAGTCTCACGAACTGAAAACATAGATTGGCCCAATCCCTGACATTATCGAGAGGCAGCGTTGGCTCTCGGTGGTGATGTCAATCTCATTAAAATCAGACCTTAGTTTACGCTACCGCTACGATCATTAGCGGTCACGTCAGAACGACCTTTCATCCGACCAATCAGAGCGTCGCTTACCAGATTATGAAAGTGACAGTCGGAATGTGATTTCTAGTCATGCAATCTCGAAAACTTTAACATGGGGTATTCCGAACGATAGTTACGGATTTAACGACTGAATCCATACAATCTAGACCATCCTTTAGCCATTCCAGAATGTTCTTTTGTTTAGCTTTCAAGTTTGTAATCGAGAATTTGTCAAAATATGTTTCGAAGCGTAGTCGCCAATTTGAAATTAGTGCCTTAAAGCACGAGAAAGCTTCCTCCTGATTGGTCATTCCATTGGTCGGTCAAAGTTCGCGCAAGGTCGGTCTGACGTGACCCGTAATGGGATGTCCTCAGATCTTTGTTTAGCGGTAGCGAGAACTAAGATCTGATTTTAATGAGATTTTGGGGATGTTATATTATTATATTATTTTTGACTGAGATCTTAGTCTTGGTATAACACGGTGCGACCCCTCTGCAATTGGAGTTGTCCATGGTTGCATGTAATTATATGCTGTATAGCATGCACACGCGAAACCAATAGGTTTGCAGGTGAGCGCACCCGTCCTTTAAGACATACTTACAAGTTTGGAATATTAATAATTAATCATTTGGTATTGAATAACTGTAAGTGTATTCCCCTTTTCTGAAAAGCTGCGCCCCAGTGCCCTTTTAAGAAGGACATTTGGTTTGAAATCTGCGGGTTCAACAATTTGTTTTGGTCAGCCGTGTCATCACTTTGAGCATACAGTGAACCCTCGTTAGTCCGGAAACTCCGTCTTACGGACGATTACTGAATGAACACTTATAAACAAACGTCAAGAGAGCATGTTAGTGCTTCGTCAATCGTCATATAGCTGGGATATTGATAAGGGCGGCTTTACACAACAAACAAACAACAGACATCTAAAAGGAGTCATTTTAACAAAACCAAGTACAAAACAACACGACGACGCACTGCAATCTATATTTTTATTGCAGGATGGAATACGAGGTGAGGGTCAAAAGACACTATGTTGCCTGTGCTGCAAATCTGGACCAATAAGCTGCACGTTTCAGATTGACCGCTGTGGTTATGTCCCAGGGGAAGCCATACCTTTAAAGGGCGAGATCATCAACCACAGCAATCGGAGAATGAAGAGATCCTACGCTCAGTTATACATGGTCAGTAAAATGTAACAATCCTTGAGAGATTAAGGTACATAATATTAAGGAACAACTTCAATTATAGGAATTCCGTATATTCCGTGGTGGATCTAGCATTTTGTTACCTAAGATATGTTGCTTCTTTGAAATCTTTCCATCCTTTCTCATTATATGGTGTAAGAGTGAGTGAGTGAGTATGTTGGGTTGAATGCCGCTTTTAACAGAATTCCAGTTATATCGCGGCGTGTCAGCTTAAGGAAAGCCGAAGTGATGCAGGTCTTAGACGTTTACCACTTCGGTGAAAGCCACGAGCACGTGTATGGTGCTGACAAACCTAGAAACATAATCGGGGCGAACCGGGATTCGAACCAACAATCATAGGTTTCTGGCGTGCCCAAGGGACGCAACTCTGCACAGCGAATCGCGGCGCCTTAGACGACTGGGCCACCCGTGCCCCCATATGGTGTAAGAGGAAAACTTAATCAAAGTGTTTGTTGCCAAATAAGAATATTCGCAGATCTGTTGGAAAACCTGACGGATGTTGACGGTGACACGTGGGAAATCTGCTTCTTTGTGCGAGTTATCCCCCTTCCTTTGTGGATTTGTGTTTGGTTTGTATGAAGTTTGAGAGACTGTGGGATATAGCAATGATTGATATTAAAGGTTTTTTATCTTCTTTTTCTTTACCGCATTAATGAGGAAAACATTTATCATGTTGAAATTTGTCCGAAAAACTATTTTAGTACAGACACAAGTGGCTTTGTTGGATTAAGTATGTTGTTTTTGATAGATCAATACTCTGAAACTTCAAAGTCTCTATTTAGTATCGCCGCTGGGTATAAACTGGGTTTGCTACCCACTATGTGTGATAGCCTTTGTATGAACGGTTCATAACGACGAAATCAACTTTATGAATTTCCCAATAACAACAAGCAAGACCAATGCATTTTTTTGTGTGTCATCACAAAGATCATTTTAGTGGTGAGACCCCGTAAGAACACCACACCAGTAGTCAGGATTTAATCCAATACTAGTATATGGCTTATGTCATGTCCAGGTGAGGTATTACCACGCAACACGGAAGTCCAGAAGTGACATCCAGAAAATAGCGGAAATCTCACGTGGCGCAATCCTCCCTGGTGACACGGATGTCTGGAACGGAGACCCGCTTTTAATACCGCCAGTGCCGCCCTCCAAGTTACCTGGGTGCAGAATAATAGCCCTCGAGTACTTTATAAAGGTAGATGTGCCTTTAATCAGTGGTCACCACCAGGGAAACACTTTCACCTGGAATAAAATTTCAGCACCTCAACATATACTAAGTTAACATGGAACCGTGCTTCATATAAATTTCAATAAAAATAAATTTATTCTGGAATAAAAATAATGCATCTTTGAATATATATATATATATATATATATATATATATATATATATATATATATATATATATATATATATATATATATATATATATATATATACATTTATGTATATTCGATTTAAGGCACAGCACACAATGATTGTTTACATGTAAGGTGCTCATGAAAGTACTTTTGGTTGACCTTAAATAACGCAATGCGAATGAGATCAATGTCATGTAGATGTTGCCAAACCTTACATGAAAGTTAGACCGCCTTCGTGGTCTATTGGTACGGTGTCCTCCCGAGAGCCAAAGGTCCGGGTCTCGATGTCCGGCCTCGTCATACCAAAATATCTTAAAAGATGGTACTTGTTGTTACCCTGCCTGGCGCTCGGCATTAAGGGGCTAAAATAAGGACTGTTCGCTCGGAGCCAGTATACTGTGTCTGAATGGGGTATACATGTTAAACCTTTGCATGGTATCTCAAATCGCCATTATTCCGGACTAGTTCAAGCACACACACACGTGCATGCACGTTCCAACATAGGAACAATAATCTTGGACCCGACGTTAAACGCCATTTCACCTTATCTCCATGGAGGTTTAGGGTAAAGGCGTGGTAACTGGTTATAATATTGCACATTATATCGCACTTATCCAGACATATTTGTTCCCCGATCAGTGGTTACGTATGCATTCAAGTTATCATTTTCAACTCTCAGGACAGTACACAATCTTTGCTTCCGCTATTTTCTACATCCACCTCACATACCAGGTACCCATTCCCTGCTGGGTGAACAGAGACACATTTGAACTGAGTCACTTGCCTAGGGTGACACCACACGTGTTTGACGCTTTCGGGAGTATGTACGGATTCGTATTTCCACATCGTGTGATCTGCCAACGGATAAGATGGTTCTTTTGTGGCACAGGGTATTAGTACTGTTCAGTAGCGGTATTGACAACACCGTACAGACCTGTACACATTGTTGGTCCAGAGGCTGAATAACAACAGGTTACTCGCGGAATACGAGCTCAGAACCTTGCGCTGAAAATATGTATTGTTGACGTATTTCTACAACATGCTACAGATCTCAAAAATTTATCTATGGCAAGTAAAGAACTTCTTTACCCATCTTACTGTGTCTGGACGGCATTGGATGTTTCTCCTCACTAATTACATCTTACAGGTGTCACATTTGCATTTTTAATAGATCCATGCCATCGGTGTAAAAAAACCCACTCCAAAATACTTGATATAATTGTATTTTCGTGAAGAATACACTGTGTACATCACAATCAACATAATACTCTGGATAACTGAAGGAGCTCATTAAGTGAATTATATATCTCTTAATTGAATGTCCATCCATCTCAATCTATTTACTTTTACCTATTTCACCATTATTTCAGCTATGTGTTGAACCTGCTGGACCCGGGTTTCAACTAGAAATACCTCTGAGCGTGATCATCGGATCCATACCGCTCAGATACGCACTAGAACAATACGGGTTGGCTCCTCGGACCGAGGGCCCACACCAGTCTCAGCTTTACCAGGACAGTCGGCAATCTTCAGCATCACCGCTACCACCCATGCGTGCGTTACATCTACCTTCAGATAAACACATAGTGATTAACAATTAGATTAACGATATTAACAACACGTTAAGAACTTACAGTAATTATAACTTGTTAGTGTAACCATAACAAACTGGCCAATTTCAAGTAATTAAGAATATACACAAAGCTTCTTTAATACTGTGAAATTCATAATAAGAAAGTTACAGTATAATTGAATTGTGAATCATTTATACCACTTAAGGTACAGTCTAGACAAAACCAGCCACTTACTCTTCGTTCTGCTGATGGGTAAACATAAAAGGTGCAACTTATCATGATTAAATACTTATGGTAATGGTCCTATACGGGGTCCTTTTAGATGTAGTCATGTTTATATTGGCGTAAAAATATTACCAATATCACTATTGAAATTATTCTCAAAACATGTCACACTTTCATTAATTAGTAAATATTATTAAATTGATGGCGACCATAATAAAAATCGTCATTGTTGAGAAGATGTGACATTTACTACTGTTTCATAGTAGAATGAGTGTCACTGTACAATCCAGACTATTTAGACAATGAAGGCTGGTCAAAGTGCAAATGTCACATAATGTCATGTATTAAAATATAATGAGTCCAATTACAAGCTATCCATATACCAAACTGAAGTATTTGTTAAAGTTAGTGCCAAATGGCCATTAGAAGGTTTTCCAATAAGGGCAATATGACTGCCTGATATGACTGACTCAGTCTAAATCAAACATCGATTTGCATTGAAAACCTTTATGTGGTGAAATAATTTTTCATTCCCCAGTTAGATTGAATTTGTGTATTCATTAGATTTTCGAATATCTTTCATTTCGCCAACGCCGTGGAAAGGTTGTATGCTCTGCGCGCAAATAAAATGACTGGACGCGGTTTACATAATGTACGAAAGGCACCGACTCCAATCAATATTAAAATCGATTGCTTTTCCTGAGGCAGCATTTTTTCGCATATTGAACTATGCGAAAATCTATCACCACCATAATTCTAATCAATGCTAAAAAAACGACAATTATCAGTCTGAACAGTCACAAGCTAAAAGGGTGCATTAAGTTTTTAATACGATATATACGCAAGAAGAAACTCCAGCTAAACAAGTGCAACAACAGTCAATGAAAACAATGAACCGACATTTGAATTTACACATTAAATAAATCGATGGCCTGGGTGTGGCACTCACTTTTAAAATAACATGGCAGCGCTTATAAATAAGTTGGGATGTTTTCTTGAAGTAGAGCTGTACTATAGCGAATGGCTGTCAGGAACTTGTCTGTATGATGGGGTATGTTGAAGCGCTGAATCTACACGTATGTAATAATATATTCGGTAACTGCTGACATCATATGCTCGTGTATGACAACTTGAATAAAAGCCTAGATCAAATCGGGATGTTTACATTTAGTAAAAAAAGTCAAACATGCAAATGGACATAGCTAGAGGTAATATGTTGTTTTTTGTGTGACAATATATGTCGTTGTTACCTTACCAGAAGTAGAACAATTTAATACCGAATAACGTTATTCTTTTACACAATATTAGCATACTGGGACTGTGCAATATTCATTGTATTAATCCAAGTAAACATTACCTCAACTTAATCATTGTGAGGAAACATTGCCTATGTTTCCAATAAACGTTGATTCTCTTTACCATTAATACCCTGATTTTATTGCTAAATGTTGCTTTTAATTCAAATCTAATGTAGAAATGTACAAATAACATAATATTAATCTGCATTTCTGCTCATATTAAAACGTTGATTTTCGACGTTTCAGCTCCATCATACGCAGAAAGCGTGTTTGGCGCAGTGAACATCAAGGATGACGATGACTCCGAGCATACCAAAGGGAACATGAACTTCACTCCAGTGTATACCTTTTACAACTGGGGAGAAACAGCTCAACCTTCAGCACCTCCACCATAGCAACATCCCCATTGGCAGCAAACACCTGTTTCCAAAAGGAAACACCTCACACAATCTCCTCTCAACTTTTACTAAACACGGGATGATAGCCGTAACCAGCTAATTACTGCAGAGTTGCGTCCCTTAGGAGTGTCAGGAACTTATGAATATAATTCAAATCTCCCGATTAAGTTTCTAGGTTTGCCAGCACCATCCCCCAGCTGGTGGGTTTTCACTTAAGTGGTAAATGTCCTGCATCACTTCGAGCTTACCTCCCACGTCATGCTGACACCCACACTAAGCTAAAATACTGTTTAGGGCTGCGTTTAACCAAACTCACCCAAGGAAGTTGCCTGAAATCAAACAAATGAAACGTAATGTACATTCAGTCTTGCGTGGTTGGCATACAACCCCGACTTGATACATTTCGTGAAACTTGATCGTGCCTTCTGTTACAGCATACTGTGGCCAGTGTGTCCAGTATCACTAGTCTATCTGTACAGTATTATTGCTATGAAAGGTGTAGCGACAGGTGTTACATGTTACGTTTGAGGTGCCTTGGTTTGTCACTATTTCTGTGAACTGTGATAAAATATCGAAATTTGATGATGATGGTGCTACTCTTGAATAACTGTACACCAGAATCAACCTTTGCTACCTATAAATTGAAAATGTATTTCTCCATGCGCGACTTCAAATACTGATATACACAAATATGTTGACGTAACATTAACAGCTGAATAATTTGACTTCGTAAATATGTTTAAATGTAGTTAATTTTATGTGATTACATTTATCTGATTGCAATACTAAACTACCTGGCAAAAGAAGGTATACACTTAAAAATTGGATTTGACCAAACAAAACAAATTTTATCAAAACATTACTGGTCACCGAAACCTTGTAGACGTAAGGTCCACAACACAACTATGATGCCCGTATCAAATACATCACCATCGAATAACCATTTCTTGTTTATTTCTTTTAAGACACTATCAAAAAGGGTGTGTACTTTCTTTCTGCCGGGCAGTAAGCACGGCTGATCCTGTGTGCAATGTTACGTCTCATAGTCGAATGATCATATAATCATCGGTTCAAATGCCAGATACATCCTGATTTTGATTGGGTTTCACCAAAGAGAAAATCTTCAACGTCGGGTTTTCCCCCATTCCCATTGTAAGCTGCCACGCCGTGAAATCACTGAAACAATGTTCAGAAGGACGTTCAACCCAACTCTAGCTCTCAACTACAATAGAAGCTTCAACAATCATGTGTTATGGTCTCTTCACTATTTACAAAGGATGGCTGAAAAGTTCTGAGCCTTACTACGAAGTTTGCCTGTATTAAATACAACACTGAACATTCCTACAAGCTGCATATTTCTGCGGGCATCAAAGTGACAATGACAAATTTACAAAATTGGTTACGGCGCTGTCATCAAGTAACTCATCCTCAAAGGCTCCAACAGGTACTAGTATCCTCGCGTACATGGTGTCGAATTTAGGGGATGATGATGCGCCTCTGTTTTCCTCTGTTAAGACTCCTGTTTGCTTGTTTAACACCGCACTACTATATGACGGTCTAGTTGTTAAGTCATTGGTTCACTACTATCAGCTATAGACTAAACAAACGTGAAAATGTAGTGGATACATCTAACTCTGAAGAACGCAAATTATTTGTTGGCACAGAACACGTGTTCCAGCTGACGGTTTTCTGGGATTCCAAAATGAATCCTACGCTGAACTACTCCCAGAAAGATCAGCATTTGCAACCATCAACGTAGTCCATCACTGGTAGGCCCAGAACCTTTCAGCCATCTCTTGTATCATACGGCGGTGGGATATCCTAGTAATTAAATCCGAGTACTATACCCCGCAGGTTTTAATAAGTGATGACCCTCGCCATCAAATTGCTGAAATACTGCTAAAATCAGAGTAAACGCGCTGTCATTGTCACAGTTGCAATCGCGTGTGTGTGTAGCTGTAAGTGGGCCAGGAATTCTAAAATTCTGAACGTTTTGTCACTCAAGTTTTACATTTAATTTTGCATTAAATATATGCTGATTCCTGTAAATTCCTGACTATTTTTAATTATCAACGAATTGTATAACATGTACCAGTGATATGTTACTTGTTCGGTCAATTCTTGAATACTGTATTACGTAACAAATGCAATCAGTCATTCCATTTACCATCTTCAACCTGTAAGAATTTCTATTTGCAGTCTTGCGCCTTTAGTCGTGTAAAGATCCGCTGATAACGGGTTCTCCCTGATTTTTATCCTTTGTCCTTCAGCACCATATGTACCTGCACTGCTCGTGAAGCTCGTGAAGCTCGCGAAGCTGCGATGACGAAATACTGTTAAAAGTGGCAATAAACTCATTCACACATTCATATGCATGTATATCTGTGATATGTTCTTTTATATTTACTGGATATCACAGGTTTTTCTGCATTGTAATGCAATACGGTATATATGGCTGACATATTGATGATGCGACCTTAAATTTTAACTCACATATTATCTCAGTGTTCTCATATTAACTGTTTGATTGGGATTCTAGAAGTTGGTGAGTAAATAAGAAAACAATTTTGGCTAACAACTTCTGGCTAACTGCATATGGCAACGTTTCGATGTAGCTTGATAACGGTGTAAGTCGTTATATGCAACAAACCAGAAGTTGTTATTCATAAAAGTGTACGTTTTCTTATTTCACGTTTAAATTATGCATATCTAATACATTTAATGAAGTACTTACTATTTAAATACCTTTCACATTCATTTGGAAATGTAAATAGGATTCCATTCTAATACAAATATCTATTTTCTAATAAATGATCGTAAAAACACCCTTTGCAACATTGTGTTATTTTTAGTAAGTTCTGGCGCCGTCACAAACACATGCAAAGGCAAATCAAGACTGGAACATAATGGTACAAGTGGAAATAAGGAATTGTATCGGACATCACTTTTGGTCACTGTTATGTCAAATCTGAAAATGTCTACCACAAAACGTTTTGAAGTTTTACTTGGGACTTGAATGCTGTTACCATGATCAAACAACTTTCGAGAAAGCGTCGTATGAATGTCTTTGAAATCTTCGAAGAAAGAGCATGCTCGATTGTACCTCAAAAACCAGGAAATGTACACACTAAAGGCTGGAATATTGTTCGTCATAAATGAAAACTTGTCTCCTTCCTGTCATAAAATCTCGTGGAGAGTTTATCGTTGTCTTTTTGTCAATCTTTATGCATAGGCCTAAACATGACACGCATGAGGAGGTTTCACTGCTCTCTTCTATTACTATTTGTAGTTAAGGTAGGTAAATCAGTGAGTGAGTGAGTGAGTTTGGTTTTACGCCGCTTTTAGCAATATTCCAGCAATATCACGGCGGGGGACACCAGAAATGGGCTTCACACATTGTGTAAATCAGTGAAGGGAATTGGCTATTTGGCTATTACTCAACGATTTCAAAAACCCGAGGCTTAAATCGAACTTCTCGGCAAAATTCCTGTGTTTTGTTTTTGTCAGTCCGAGCAGAAATTTCTATTCGTATATACATGCAGATGCAGACGTGGGGACCACGTTCAATGCCAATTGCCCAATGGCTCAAGAAATTCCCTTTTTCCTGAATGTTTTTGTGTGGGATGGTGATGTAAAGAGGTGAATATTTTTTTTATTTATGACGAACTTCAACTTGGCAAATATTCAAGCAAATCCTTTAGTTTTTGAGAATCCACATGGTAATAATTCCAGTTCTCTCAAATATTTTTTTCAAAACTATAGAGGCAATCCTTCCTTGATTGTATTAAGGATTATTGTTAGTCTTTTGAGACCTTTGATTTGTTGGCATATGTTCATGTGCTGCACCCTATAATATCTCTTTTTATGGAGCTTTGGAATCTAGTTATAGGCACGTCATATTTCAACAATGTATGACATTGTCAATCAAAATATTTCAAACCAGCAAATGAGATTGCCGTTACCTTGAACCACAGCTTGCGGAATGTAGCCCGGGTTGTATATATTATGAGCCACAACTATTTAAAAAATTATATAGAAATATATAACATCACCATGAGTCAGATCAAACTGACATGGCTTCTCATAAATATCTCAAGTTGTTGTGTAACACTTTCATCACTTTATTCCATTGTGACCGCGCTGTAGTGTGCGTTGTTGCGCCATGTTGTCATGGGTTACCCTGGGCGAGCATCAACAACATACAACATGCAGCCTCCTACGGAAGCGTAGTAGGGCCACGGTGAAAATCTTTTTTGTCTAAGTATCTCCCACGTAGGACTTATTATCTCCTACGTAGGACTTAGTATCTTCTACGTAGGACCTACTATCTCCTACGTAGGACTTAGTATCTTCTACGTAGGACTTACTATCTCATACGTAGGACTTAGTATGGCCTAGAATCACTATCTCCTCCTCTGGACTTAGTATGCTGCGGAAGCGTAGTAGGGCCACGGTGAAAATTGTTTTTGTCTAAGTATCTCCTACGTAGGACTTATTATCTCCTACGTAGGACTTGGGACCTGACGCGGTCAGGGAATCAAACCACATACCTTCCGCTCTCCGGGCAGACGATCTATCTACTGGAGCTTAAGGCAGTCACACCCCGGGTAAGCATAGTAGCTACCATTGCATGCAAACCGTCAATCCATGAAAAACGAATTCCAGTCATTCATTATAGCCTGGTCACTGAACCTTATATGAGGCACTCGAATTGAAATCGTACATATACAGGTAGCACATAGAAGGGTGGAATTATACAAGCAAACGGGTATCACTTGCTACTATATATATATATAGGGAACAGAGTTGTGTTGGTAAAACCGGTTGGGAAGAGTGTACGTGTTTGAGATATTTGATATATTGTATATATATCAAATACAATATATCAAATATCTCAAACACGTACACTCTTCCCAACCGGTTTTACCAACACAACTCTGTTCCCTGAACATGATAAAGTCTAGGATCATGACAAATGAGTTGTGAAAAGAAATTAAATTTTCCTCCTCCTTCTTCCATAAAACAAATGTGTGTTTTTAGCGGTCCCGAAAACAAAAATATCCTATCTCCAACTAAATTGCAACTCCACTCCACTCCAGCCCACCCCAATATAGGAGACGAAACATATGACAGGTAATTCTAAAACCTCTTTAAATATTTGGAAGTCTGGTGCAAACAAACTGGGATTTGTAGATAACTGCCAAATTACAACATGGTGTTGGTGACGGAGGTTTGTTTATAACTGTAGTTTATTTGTCAAAGGTAGCTGATGGCGTGGATGTCGTCATGAGCAACACGTCAATGTGTAAATATCGGCTCCTGCACACATGTATTGTATCGACATGCACATTGGAAGTGCAAAATTATAATCAATCATACTCCCTGATATGTAAATACCTCTAAATGATCAGGATGTTTATCTCGTTGCCATGGTAGTATCACGACACGAAACTATTATTCCGTAACCCGTTGATGAAGACTGTTCAATATTATTCCAAAGAACGGTTGGACCATCTCACGACCTGCGTTTGTGATTTGTGAGCGAGTACGAATAACAATGCTATTAACTTGTGGCAGATAACTACATGAGTGCACTCAATGGCCAATCGTAAGCGTGTCTACTAAAGTGCTGTGGTAATTCAGGCTCGGTGTTTCTCGATGTTGACAGCCAACCTGCAACGTACAACTTTACATGACACAGACGAAGCAACGGGACGACATCGTTGTGACATGGACACTGTGACATTACGAAAACAGTCGACACTGACATAAAAGCATTATTATAAAGGTCTGTGGGGCATCTGTTTTGTAAACGGAGAAGGGTATGACACTAGTCTGTCTGTTGTGTGAATGTGCTTATTTACATCGGATGCAGTGTCATAAATATAAAACTCATTAGAAAGCTGTTCTTGAAACACCGTCTCTCAAAGATGGGCAAACTGAACGTATTTACAATAACTTTAAACAACCCCCAGGGCGTGTATTCCCCGGGACAGTGTCTACAGGGTCACCTTACATTGGAGCTAAACGAGGGAATGAAAATGAGAGGTAAGTACTTTAAGTAATTATAAACATGCAGAAACAGGTTACTGTGTGCACATTTATTATCATGGGATTTTGTAGAGGCACATACGTTTTTTAAATATGTCTTTTTACCTTTACGCCCTGATTTAAGCTGAGTGTAGTGTTTAATAATATTTCAAAGTATTTCGACTTTAAATGTGACAGTAATATATGTTTTAAATGAAAAAAAGAACAACCGAGTTCCAGTGTTTTGTACAAAGTTGAAGAGACTGAAAGATTAAGGTATTATCGTATAAGCGACTGGATGGCTGACACGCCATATAATCGATATCGTCAAAGTAACTGTGTCTTTTAAGTTTGTGGGTGAGTGATCCCATCCGTGTACAACTTGGGAGCGAAGATTTTTGTTTTATGGCCATGACATAGATCTACAGAATTGATTGATTGAGTATGGGTTTACACCGCTTTTAAGCAATATTAATATTCCAGCAATATCACGGCGGGGGACACCAGAAATGTGCTTCACAAATTGTACCCATGTGGGGAATCGACAAGCCTTCACTTTAACCACTAGGCAACCCCCCCCCCCCCCCCCCCCCCCCCCCCCCCCAGGTCTACAGAAAGCTACATCACAACGATATGCATAATATAACAAGACTGTGGACAGAGTGATCATGCTGTTGAGGGGTTAAAATACATAAAGGACCGACGCTTATGTTGTTATTAACAACAACGGGCGTAAAGTTTAATGCACCCGGAGTAATGCACTTGGGACCCACTCGGAAAATCAGGTTGATTAGTGTAGTGTAAAGTACTATTATGTCAATAACGTGGCACAGTTAATCTGACAGAGATAGATCTGTTGCAGGCATACAGCTTCAGCTGCACGGTGGTGCCAGAGTCAAATGGTCCGAGAGCTGCCCGAAGGGGGTTGGGAAGGCCAGGCGAACTGTCACCAAGCATTATGTGGCGAAAGATACCTACTTCAACAACGAACTGGTTCTGTTTGGGAAAGGTATTTATGGACCGATTAAGTCGTTACAAGCAATCATGCGTTTCCTGTAGGCCCTAATAATGTGAAGGGTATTTTTATGTACATGAATAATGTTAAATGATGATGGATCTTGTACATCATCCTATATTCTGACATATATACATAAAATTATACTTATTATGCCTCACAGTGAGATTGACCAATCAGAGATCAGAATAACTAACACCGTATGATCCCCTATACCGTCATTTAAATCCAAGATGGTTGTTACTGACCTAATATGAGACCGTATACAGTCAGTAACAGCCATTTTGGATTTTCCAACACCCACCTCACATATTTCACATGAACATTCTGGTGCAGAAAGTCGTTATTCGACACTGTTTTGTGTTTTAATATCATTAATTATGATGCGGAAATACATTACTTTTTAAAGAAACCACCTTTGTGACTTACAGAGAAAAAAAGCTTCAACGGAGGTCACTGAGTTAAAAACAGTAACGTCATAGTACATAATACAGGATGACGTCACAAACAAGAAACGTGACGCCATCGACGTCACATAGCAAAAGAATAGACAGCAGCCCGTCGTTAGGGGAAAGCGGACTGGTGTCAAGGTTTCTGATAACATGCAGGCATTTTGTATGATAATTCTATCCATTTGAGCTATAATACTTTAAACGTTCACATTAAGTGCATTATATACTAAATACTATATGCTCACGCCTGGTCCAATATTTTTTGTATTTTTTTTCCAATATGACACTGTAAAGGACCACTAAAGACACCATAA